ATAAAAAATAACAAAAATTGACTTTTATTTTAATATTATTGTTACAGTGTATACAGTTTTAATTAATTAATTAATTAAATTCAAATTAATTCTTATTATTTTTATGTAAATTAATTATAAACATATATATTTATTATATTCTTAACCTGTCTTCAATAAAAAAATTCAAAATAAAATAATTAATACATATTACTTAATAAATTAAAATTAATTTATATTTTAATATTTTTAAGTAGGATTTTTTTAATTTATGCTCTCCATATTAAGAACATCTTTTTCAAATTGATTGTTATTGAAAAATAAAATTTAACATTTATTTAATCAATCATTCAATTAAAACAATACATATAATATTAATGATAAAATTAATATTATATTTTAATATTTTTAAGTAGGATTTTTTTAATTTATGCTCTCCAGATTAAGAACATCTTTTTCAAATGATTGTTATTGAAAAATAAAATTTAACATTTATTTAATCAATCATTCAATTAAAACAATACATATAATATTAATGATAAAATTAATATCAATTTTTATTTTTTTATATTAATTAATATTTAAAAAATATATTAATTACACTTTTAATGTATATCTTAAAAATACATATTAAATAAATCTTTTTAATATCACAGAATGAATTATTAACAGACTGTTTAGTTTACAGACACAAACAAAAATTGATGTGCCGTAACAATTTATTGGTTGGCCTTGACAACTTCCATAATTACATATACAGTAATTAAAACACCTTTTGGAGACTTAAAAGAGAAAGGAGAACGACTAAGGAGTTAGGAAACTCGTTTTATTGCCCATAATTTGGGTTCACCAGAAAGGGAGATTCGTCATAATGAGTGGCATTTTATGTGTACGGACTACGGACTGAAATTGGCAATTAAGTGGAGATTTCTTGGAAGACGGTGCTAACGGAATCAATCACGTGTGAAATGTGATTATGTACAAGAAAAAAAAATATGTTAAATCCCCATTTTGGTCCCTAAACTATTGTATAGACCTCCGATTTGGTCTCTAAACTAAAAAAATCCCTGATTTGGTCCTTAAACTATTGTACGGACTCCTGATTTGGTCTCCACTGTTTATAATTTGACCTAAGTTAATCCTTGAACTATGGTACGGACCCCCAATTTGGTCCTTACTGTTTACAATTTTGTCCCAATTTGGTCCCTGAGCTATTATTTAACAAAAGGACCAAGTTGGGGTTATATTGGTAAATAGTAGGGACCAAATTGGGTATCCATATAATAGTTTAGGGACTAACTCAGGAGTCCGTACAATAATCAGAACCAAATCGGTGTCCGTACAATAGTTTAAGGATCAAATTAGGGATTTCTTTAGTTTAGGGATCAAATCAGAAGTTTATATCATAATTTAGGGACCAAAATAGGGGTTTAACCAAAAAAATATTGTCAATGTAGTTTAACGATAGTTTTTTATAATAAAATGGTTTTAAATTTAAATTATATGATATAAAAATAGGAAAAAAATATAAAATTTGTATCTTATTTTAAAATTTTTATATCTATTGTTTAATTTAGAAATTTAAAAAAAAATTATTTTTCAGTAAAAAATTAACAAAATTTATATCTTTACCTTTTTTTTGGGTTAAAGCCAATTATAGTCCTGATGCTTTGTGAAAATATTCATTACCATCCCTCTACTAAGGAAATGTTCAATATCATCTCTCTACTTTTCTTACACCATAATTATCATCCCTCTACTACTTTTTTTTTTGTTAGATGTCATCCTTAATTGGATGCCATCCATTTTGCTATTAACTTTGACGGTTAATTGCCTAACGATCAAACATTTAATTTTTGTTAATTAATTTTTTATTCACAAACAGGATTTGTTAACTCTCTATTAAAATAAAAAAATATTTATAATATCAATTATCAAAAATTAAATATGTAACAATTTAATTCTAAAAGTTTAAAAAATAAAAAAATTAATAATTTAAAAATAATTAATAAATGACTTTATCACATATACGAAAACAATGTTAGATATCTACAATTAAATCAAATGATTAACTTAATCTAACTAAAAAGATCTAATTAAGATTAAAAAAATTTTCTTGGCTATATTTTTCTAGTCTATTAAATTTTCTATCTTAATTTAATTAAGAAATTTTTCTTAATTTCAGTCAAAATTCTGTCTCCAAATTAAGCTAATTGCTCAATTTAATTATAAATATCTAATAATGTTTTAGTATATGTGAAAAAGTCATTTATTAATTCTTTTTAGTTTACTAATTTGAACTTTTAGAATTAAATTGTTACATTTTTAATTTTTAAAGATTAATCCGATAACTATTTTATTCCATAACTATTTTATTCCAATTTTAATAGAGAATTAACAGATTCCGTTAATTTAGGTACTAAAGTAAGAAAGAATAATACAAAACTAAAAAAAATAAAGAAATTGGTCTCACTAGGTGGATAAAAAATTAATAAACAAAGAGTTATTTTAATTTGTGTCTTAAGGGTTATTCTAATTTGTACCTTAAGGGTTATTCTAATTTGTGTCTTCAGGTTATTTTAATTTGTGTTTTTAGGATGCCGATTAAAAGTTTTTAAAAAAATAAAAAGTAATATTTAATTTATTAACTGTCTAATTAAATTTATTTATGTGACAATGACACTAAAATTAATGTTTACTTTTATATTTTCTTATACAAATTTATTACAAAAAAAATATCATTAATATGTGCTTTTAGAAAAATTTATAAACAAAAGTTGAATATTTGACTGTTAACAATTAACTATCAAACTTAACAGTAAAATGGATGGCAACCAATTAAGGATGACATTAAACAAAAAAAGGATAGTAGAGGGATGACATTTATGGTGTAAGAAAAGTAGAGGGATGGTATTGAACATTTCCTTAGTAGAGGGATGGTAATGAACATTTTCACAAAGTACGAGGACTACAGTTGGCTTTAACCTTTTTTTTTTTTTTTAAGCCGCCTCTTCAAAGAATTTCATAAATTTGTGGGGTATTTCACAATTTTACCATGCCTAATTGAAAATTTCAGAGACTTTATAATTAGGTAGGAGAACCCGGGACGGACTACGGTGCTTGTCCACAAACAATCCAATTTTGATCGTGGGTTCTGCCCTCCTGACTCACCTCCTCCACAGCTTTAAACCTTTTTTCTTCTCCACCATTGGCGATTCAGCGTTCCCATAATTCTTTTCCCTGCGCATGGAAACTTGCTTCTACTCTTCCTCTACTTCTTCTTCTTCTTCTTCTTTAATGTCACTTTTGACAGAAGAAAAAGCAAGGGAGTTCTGTTGCACTATAATTTCAAAAGCTATCTGTAAATTGTTGTACGCAGTCGCCATCTTCGTATGCTTAGTAGGTTAGTTTCTTTCTTATTTTCCATATTCTTGGATTTCTCTTTGGCTTTCAGCATAGTCGTCCTTAATCGCTAGATTAGTGCCTTTTTAGCTCAGGCTTTTAATTTGAGTTAATATCAGTCAGGTTAAATAGCTTCATTTCCATACCCCATACCCAATAATTCATAAAATGAAAAAAGAAAAGGCTTCTTTACCCATCCAAGAATTCACTACTTCTTTTTGCGAGTTCATTATGAATCTAGACTGAATTTTAGTTTCGAAAACATACCTGATTTAATCGGAATCTGTTTTTATGTTGTGTAGCTGGCGCAACCTTTGGATTCATACTTGGAGCTCTGGTCGGAATAAGAAAGAAAACTGGCTGTCTTCGAGGAGCACTAATCGGAGGCATTAAATGCAGTCTTTTCTTCCCCAAGCTCTTAAAACTTTCACTTTCTCTCTGGAGAACTTCCGATCATATTGCAACTCCACAACTACTTCAACGGGTAAGTAAGAATCATAATTTTTTTTTTTTTGGGCCTTTAAAGTGCGTCAATCACTTCAATTCTCCTTTTTCCTTCACCGGCCTTGCAATCTTAATACGCTAATGCTAAAAGACTGTGGACCACGTTTATTTGTCCCTGAAATTTTTTCCTCCTCGGAAAAATGGTACGGAAATGGTCTGGTCGGTAGTCATCCATGTCTCCAACTACATTGTTTTTGTTATGGTATGTTTAACCACGTTAACAGCATCATCATTGAGTAACTTAGTCGACCACCTCATTGTAGAGAGAAATAGAGAGATATATGTTGAAAATTTTAAATTTGGTGAATTCTTTAGATGGTTGCATTACATACAAGAAACAAGAAGGGATCGAGAAAAGGGAAAGGGTTATCGACTACTTCCGTACAGAATATCAAAATCACAGAGGAAAACATATTAGAC